CTTTGTTTCCAATCCAGTTAAAGATGTATTGGCCAACTCTTTCTTTGTTTCCAATCCAGTTAAAGATGTATTGGCCAACTCTTTCATTGTTTCCAATCCAGTTAAGAATGTATTGGCCAACTCTTTCATTGTTTCCAATTCAGTTAACAATGTATTGACTAACTTTTTCTTTGTTTCCAACCCAGTTAAGAATGTATTAGCTAACTTTTTCTTTGTTTCCAATCCAGTTAAGAATGTATTGGCCAACTCTTTCATTGTTTCCAATCCAGTTAAAGATGTATTGGACAACTCTTTCATTGTTTCTAATCCAGTTAAGAATGTATTGGCCAACTCTTTCTTTGTTTCCAATCCAGTTAAAGATGTATTGGACAACTCTTTCATTGTTTACAATCCAGTTAATAATGTATCTCAACAGTTGTTTCAGTCCAATTATTTGAGTTGTCATTTCATTTATGTATTCCCTCTTGATATATATACCAACAATTTTCAAAACTTGGTTAATTATCTATATGTATTTGAATGTTTTATCAGTGTTATAGTGCCAGCTAATGATGCATATAAACAGTTCTCATTTTTTTACTAAATTATTAGTATTTATAAATATAGACCAATGGTTTTGGTGCTAGAAAGCCAGTATATCAACAGCTTTCAGTGCTACTGTGTATATCTGATCACAAGAAAGGAGTGAAATGTATATGAACATATTAACCATAAAGTATGCCAAACTTCTGTTATGAAAAGAAAATCCTTCTAATTATAAAGTTCACATTTCTGAAGAGATTAAAATCTTGATAGTTTTAACAAGTTATGAAAGGGAATGTATATATACACACAATTATAATAATTGTTATAGAACATTTTAACTTATTTCATATTTATATTCGGTTCTAAAGGTCTTTTGTGTATCTAGTTTTACTGAAGAAAATTAATTTGGTTCTTAAATTTTTTACTTTCAAGAATTATAGGGTAGGATAAAAAAATGAACTGCAAATATATGTTATTGTTTGGTTATCAAAGTTAAAGATAGATGATCTATTGACTGTTATGAAATTGTTATTTCTTTTAAGAAAAATTCCTATTGGCTGAAGTCATTTCAACAAAATGTTCAGAAATGACATCATTACAATGCAGATAAAGTTGTTTATATGGTAACCTTGAAAAAATTAAATTTCCATACAGCTGTGCTATAATAAAGTGTATAAGTTTACTTCAGTATATATCTAACATTAAAAATGTTTGTTTTTACAATAATGAAATATTCACAAGTGAAGACTAACGTAAATTTTAAAAGAATTAGTTTCAGGCACCGTAGTAAAATTACTTTTGGCACACAAGTTTGTTTTGTTATTTGAGGCTGAAATTTTGTAGGATGTTAGACCTATTTAATGAAATGACAAAGTAAATGTGTAAACACTAGTGCTGACTTACTGTAATAAACAAGCATACGAGCTGATGTACTTGTGGCATGTAGATACTGTGCATGGCAGGATTAAACATATTGGGTAAACGTGCTATATTTGTTACTTCTGAATTCAAAGCTACAAATCCAAAGGTGGCAGAAGAAACAATGTAACTGAGATAGTAGTTATGAGGACATAAATCTATTCCAAGTAGTCCTAGCACTGAGGGTGTGTAATAGAAAAAAATCAAACAAATGTGGATATATTGGGCTGTGATGACATAAAAATGTTTTTCGTATCTACGATACTGCTGAAACTAAGCTTTTGCACTTGTGGAAAATTTGTCCTTTGATCATGTCATACAGGAAAAAGAATACTTGTTAATTTTAGTATTTAT